CCTCCAGGATCCCAGACAGAAACTAACTCACCCCAGCCCTGCCCCCAGCCAGGGCTCCACCCTCCTTTTTCCCATTGTTTCGCTCCTTAGGAGATCACTGGGCAGACAGGTTCGAAGCCCCCTTTGCATAATGATTCATCCCCTGCCCTGCTGGGCTGTGCTGCAGCCAGCAGCCAGTGGAGGTCACTCACAACCCACTGCCCAGCATAGAAACCAGCAAGGTACCCCCCACTACGTCACAGCCTGTAAGTATATGTCATGCTCTATGCACCATGTCCAGAGACGGAGAGCTTCTCTGCATAACAGGAAAGATCTGGTGCCTGCTTGCCTGTTTACGTAAAAAGTCGTTGCTTGATTGTCCGTGAAAATCTGAACTGTACAATTTTTTATTTGATGAAGTGTTAACACGCATAGAATACTGCCCTGAGCTCCAGAACGTTTATGTGGAGGCTGGATTCCTGGTCTGACCCTTGATCCTGGGTAGTGAGGTGGCCTAGATGAGCTCCCCACCCAAGGAGAGATGTATCCTTTGTAATTGTCTTGGACGGGATATGTTTGCAAAAAGGGACACCAGCGCACGTTTCTTTGGTCTGTCCACCAGTGGAGGAGAGCTTGATATTGGTTCGGACAGACACTATCTTGGAGATTGAGTTGTATACGGTCCAGAGCCAATGTTGCATTGATTGCATGCAAGACCACCACGGTGACTGCGGCCATGTGGCCCAGTAGCTGTAAATTGTTTGCAACCAATGCCAACAAGAAGCGTCCACATTACTCTTCACGTGCGGGCAGTGGCACACACTCCCTGGGGGACGTGTTTGCAATACAATGGAACGCAACGTTCTCATATCTCATCGTTGTGCTTGGTGTGTCCTGTATTATCATTATGAGGTCTCTGATAGCGTGAAATCTGTTGAGGTGTAAGGAGGCTATAGCCATCATGTAGTTGAAGTGGGCTCCGATGAATTTGATCGTTTGTGATGGTTGGAGTTTGCATTTTTTAAGGTTGATCTGTAGCCCCAAAGTGCGAAAAAGGGATCTGGTGAGGGAGACTGCCTCCAGTGCAGCCAAACTTGTAGTTGCTCTTATTAGGCAGTCGTCCAGATATGGGAATATGGAGACTCCTTGTCTGTGCAGTTGAGCAGCCACAACTGCTAGTACCTTTGAAAATATCCTTGGGGCTGTAGAAAGCCCAAGGGAAGGACCGTGTACTGGTAGTGTTTGCTGGTGACTGTGAACCTTAGGTACTTGCGATGTGCTGGATGTATGGAGATCTGGAAATAGGCATCCTGAAGGTCAAGAGTCGATAACCAATCGTCTTTGTTCAGGTGGGGACTATTGTGGATAGGGTGACCATTTTGAATCGCTGAGATCTTACATGTTTGTTTAGTCCCCTGAGATCGAGAAAAGGTCTTCATTCCCCTGACCTCTTTTCAATGAGGAAGTAGTGGGAGTAAAATCCCCTGCCCTCATATTGTCGTGGTACTTGTTCTACTGCTCTGAGATGGGGTAGGTGTTTGACCTCTTGTATGAGCATTGTCTCATTGGATGGGTCCCTGAAGAGGACACAAATCCATGGGCCTGGATTTAATGCATCCAAGGGTACTGAGGGAGTTGGCAAATGTCATTGCGGAGACTTTGGCCATTATCTTTGAAAATGCATGGAGATCGGGAGCGATCCCGGATGACTGGAAAAAGGCAAATGTTGTGCCCATCTTTTAAAAAAGGAAGAAGGACAATCCAGGGAACTACAGACCAGTCAGCCTTACACCTCAGTTCCCAGAAAAATCATGGAGGGGATACTCAAGGGATCCATTTTGAAGCACTTGGAAGAGGGCAAAGTAGTCAGAAATAGTCAACACGAATTCAGAAAGGCAAGTTGAAGAGTCGTCTCAGGAAGATGTGGCAGATGGGACTGCTTTCTCTGACATGGCCGCTGGTGAGGGCTGGCGCAGTGGTGTAGAGTACAGTGTGTCGGAGGCTGGTTTTATGGCACTTTCCAGGGAAATTAACTTCAGTTGTAACTCCCTCACTTTACGTGTGCGGGCTGTCAAATGTTTACAGTGCTCGCAGTGTGCCGTGAGGTGCTTTTGGTCAAGGTACCCTCAGTGCATCCAGTATGTCTACACTAGCCCCCTAGTTCGAACTAGGGAGGCTAATATAGGCATTCGAAGTTGCAAATGAAGCCCGGGATTTAAATATCCCGGGCTTCATTTGCATCTTCCCGGGCGCCGCCATTTTTAAATCCCCTTTAGTCCGAACTCCATGCCCGCGGCTACATGCGGCACGGAGTAGGTAGTTCGAATTAGGATCTCTAATTCGAACTACCGGTACACCTCGTTCCACGAGGTCAGTTTCTAGCAGAGTGCCCAAAGGTTCGGTTCTAGGACTGGTTTTGTTCAATATCTTTATTAATTAGCTGGATGAGGGGATGGATTGCACCTCAGCAAGTTTGCAGATGACACTAATCTAGGGGGAGAGATAGATACACTGGAAGGCAGGGATAGAGCCCAGAGTGACTTAGACAAATTGGAGGATTGGGCCACAAGAAATCTGATGAGGCTGAACAAGGACAAGTGCAGAGTCATGCACCTGGGACGGAGGAATCCCAAGCATTGTTACAGGATGGGGACCAACCAGCTAAGTAGTAGTTCTGCAGAAAAGGACCTGGAGGTTACAGTGAATGAGAAGCTGGATATGAGTCAACAGTGTGCCCTTGTAGCCAAGAAGGCTAATGGCATATTAGGTTGTATTAAGAGGAGCATTGCCAGCAGATCCAGAGATGTCATTATTCCCCTTTATCTGGCTCTGGTGAGGACACATCTGGAGTACTGTGTCCTCTTCTGGGCCCCCCACTACAAAAAGGATGTGGACGTATTAGAGAGGCTCCAGCGGAGGGCAACCAAAATGATTAGGGGGCTGGAGCATATGACCTATGAAGAGAGGCTGAGCGAGTTGGGTCTGTTTAGTCTGCAGAAGCGAAGAGTGAGGGGGGATTTGATAGCAGCCTTTAATTTCCTGAAGGGAGGTTCCAAAGAGGATGGAAAAAGGCTGTTCTCTGTAGTGACGGATGGCAGAACAAGGAGCAATGGTCTCAAGTTGCGGTGGGAGAGGTCCAGGTTGGATATTAGGAAAAACTATTACACTAGGAGAGTGGTGAAACACTGGAATGGGTTACCTAGGGAAGTAGTGGAGTCTCCATTCCTAGAGGTGTTTAAGTCTCGGCTTGACAAAGCCCTGGCCGGGTTGATCTAGTTGGGATTGGTCCTGCCTAGAGCAGGGGGCTGGACTTGATGACCTCCTGAGGTCTCTTTCAGCTCTATGGTTCTATGATTATATGACAGAACTATTATGCATAACCTATATTAAATTAATGCAATTACTTTTATCAACCAAGCATGTGTTCTCATAAAATGGATTATCTAACAAGACCTATTTTCCATGAAACCATATTGATTGGCATTATTTACCCCACTCATTTACTGTCATGACCATAAGGGATGACCAGCAGCCTGGGGACTAAGGGGTTAACTGTACCTAGCCAGGTAGCACTCAGCCAATACGAATGCAGGTAAGAATTTCAAACTGGAACAAAGGAATTTTTGGTTTTTCCCTCCTTTGTCTCTGAGCAGTTGACTCTCCAGATACTGAGGGGGACAGGCAACATGTCTCTCTCCAAGAAAAGACTCTTCACCATCTGTAAGTAGGGCAAAGTCTAGATAAATCTGTTAGGTTTGATTGTTTTATGGTTTGGGAGTGGGAATCTGATGTCTGTGCATTTAGAAATGGGATTTCCTCTCTTTTGTAACTAAGTTTTGTTCCCATGGGAAAATTCCCCATGAGCTTATTAACTGGTGGCTCTTACCATCTAGCCAATCCAACTATGCTTGTAACAGGAGGATTGTTCGTTAATAAAAAAGCTATTTCTTTTTTATTAACCTGGTATTGGTTCAGTTCTGTGTCCTGGAAAATCTGTCTGTGGAATCTGCATGCCTCTGACTAGGGGATAGCAGCCACAGACTGTAGTTTGTATTTGTTCTTTTCTTTTTCAAGCTCTTTGGGGAAAAGAGCTTTGGGTACCCTGGGGTTGGTTTGAAGTGTCCACCCCTGTTTGTGGGTTCAAAAGCACTTAAAAAAATGACTGGAGATGCCTATCTCCTAGAACTGGAAGGGACCTTGAAAGGTCATTGAGTCCAGTCCCCTGCCTTCACAGCAGGTCTGCTCCTGACAAATTTTGCCCCAGATTCCTAAATGGCCTCCTCAAGGTTTGAACTCACAACGCTGGGTTTTAGCAGGCCAATGCTCAAACCACTGAGCTATACCTCCTCCTTGATAAGGGCAGTGGATTTTTAACCCCAAAATCTAGGTTTTTAGGATTTTGGGGGGAAGTTTTATACTAAAGCCTGGAGAGACAAGGTTTTAGAGTACTTTTGCAGGCCCCCATTTCTACATTCATTGTGCCAGAGTGGGGAATCAGCCTTGATAACCCCATATCAGCCTTTTCATGACTTTGACGGGGATCAACATCAGGCTAACCAGCCTGTGACAAGAGACATACTGCTAATTATTTTTAATAATTGGCACAACATTGGCTATTTTCTAGTCCACTGGACTAAACTATTCCCAATACTCTATTAATGGTTCAGAGAACATTGTAGCTGATTTTTTAAAGATTCTTAGATATAACTCAACAGGATCACTTAAGATGTAAGTGTTTTACTTGAAAAGATGCTGTTTAACATCCTCCTTAATTACCGACAATATAAATTATTTCAGTAATCAGTATATCATCCTGCTTTTTGACAAATATTTAATGAATCCATGTGTCTTATCTACATGGTTAGCATTCTAGTGTTGGATTTATACTTTTGCCAGATTTGCCTTTACTCTGTGCTTTTGCCACTTCCAGTGAGTCATCTGCAGAACCCCCTGAGCCAAATGTGAGTTGCTCTGTGGCTGTCCCTACATCTATCCAGGGGCATTCTCCTTCAGTGACTCACCTGCAGGATCTGCTGTTCCAGTTGAGAGTTGCCCTTGCACAGATGCATGATGTGTTGCAGCAGCAGCTTTGTACTCTCTGTTTTCCCTGCACCGCTCTCCCCACTAGCAAAAAAAGAGCAGAGGGTGAAGACAGGAAACTACCACCACTAGGACTCAGCTGTTCTTCCCCTTCTGTCTCAGTGCATCTCCCCTTTCTCTGAACACACACATACCACTCTCCTATTGCACGGCTACAGGTGCCTCCTACTGGCAAGTGCCCACATTAGCACTATCTAGACCCACCCCCTCAAGGCAACAGGGTTAGTGGGGCATCAATCCCTTGGTAAGCCTCCAACTCAGTGTAGCCACCTAACACCCTCCACTTGAGAGTCTTCCCTGACCCTACTGATAGAAGGGTCTTACACATACTGACACTATCTCCCACCTATCTGTAAACTTTACCCATTGGGCAGTCCCTTAAGAAACTGGAACAAAAGGAATTTTGTAGTGTCCCTATCTCTTGGCAAAAAGGGAGATATGACCTTGAAAGGCTCCTTGTGATGGGTTCAGTTGCTGGACACCCTCCCTCTTGGGACTGTCACTTCATGTGCTGAACTACCACTGAACCAACCTTCATGCCCTCATGGGTGCCGCTCCATTCTCTCCTGCTGACCCAGGCCCTCAGGCCTCCTCCAGCAATGACACAAATATAGGGTCATAGCTCTCTGAGGTATAATAGAGACACTGAGATCAGCTCAGCTCTGGGAAGGTTCAGTTAAAGGGACTTGCCTCATCACCCAAATGCACAGCTTCAATGGGACCTCAACCCCAGATAAATTAATCTTACTTTGTATTAAGTTTTATACAAGGTAAGCTCATGTTTGCCCTCTTTCTCATGGTAAAGAGAGATACAGACTCCTGCCCCTCCCCCTCAATAACAATTACACTGGGTTTATTAATAAACTAAAGTGATTTTATTTTATTAAGTGGTCATAAGCAATACCATACAGAACAATGCTGACTACTAAAAAAAAAAAAAAAAAACCAACATGCAAGCAAAGCTTAATACACTAAGAAACTGGTTACATGTAATGGTTCACCCTCAAAGTTGTTCTAATAAGCTTCTTTCACAGACTGGAAAGCCACCCACTCTGGGCTCAATCCCCACCCTTGTGCAACATCCTCCTTTCCCCTCCCTTACCTGCTCCCCATTCAGTCGTAGTTCGAATTAGGATCTCTAATTCGAACTACCGGTACACCTCGTTCCACGAGGAGTAACAGTAGTTCGAATTAGAGATCCTAATTCAAACTACCTACTCCGTGCCGCGTGTAGCCTCAGGCACGGAGTTTGGACTAAGGAGGATTTTAAAATGGCGGTGCTTGGGAAGATGCAAATGAAGCCCGGGATATTTAAATCCCGAGCTTCATTTGCAACTTCGAATGCCTACATTAGCTTCCCTAGTTTGAACTAGGGGGCTAGTGTAGACATACCCTGAGAGTGCCCATCAGATATAGGAATTAAAAGCCTACAGGATAGGCACTGTTTAAAACCTGGGGAACCCGACATCCCAGGCAGAATATCCTTGGTGAAAAAAAAATCTAACCCTAGGTAATGTAAGAACTAATAAAGGGAAAAAAATTGAATTGCAACTAAGACTAACAGCAAAACTTGAACGATATAACTGGAGAATTGAACAAGTAACTAATCATCCTAACTAAGAAAGGGAAAACTAAGTTGGAGAACAGAGAGGTTCTGACTGATGCCGCCAGCAGCAGAGAAGGATCTAAAGGGACGGTTGCCGTGCATGCGTGTTGGAGGCACCACGCGTTCCACAGGCGTGGCACATCGGAGAGCACAGCTACCAAAAATCTCCGACTAGGTGCACAGCAGCACCCAAGATACCTAAGGTGAAGCACCCGCAGGGACACTCCTAAAAGAAAAACTCATATTTCCTGATCAGTTAATCGGTTAATATATATAGGGCTACATTGATGTTGCATAGTGCTAAGGAAAGACAGATTTTGACTCCCTCAGAGACCTGATGGGAAGAATCCTCTGGGATGCTAATAGGAAGGGGAAAGGAGTCCAGGACAGCTGGCAGTATTTTAAAGAAGCCTTATTGAAGGCACAGAAAGAAACCATACCAATGCGTAGCAAGAGAGGCAAACATGGTAGGAGACCGGATTGGCTTACAGGAGAAATCCCTGGTGAACTTAAGTACAAAAAGGAAGCTTACAAAAAGTGGAAACTTGGACAAATGACCAGGGAGGGGTTTAAATATATAGCTCGAGAATGCTGGAGGGTTATCAGAAAGGCGAAAGCACAATTGGAATTGCAACTGGTTAAGGATGTGAAGGATAACAAGAGAGGTTTCTACAGGCATGTTAACAAAAAGAAGGTGATCAGAAAGGGTGTGCGGCCCATATTGGATGAAGGAGGTAACCTAGTAACAGATGATGTGGGGAAAGCTGAAGTACTCAATGCTTTCTTTGCCTCTGTATTCACGGACAAGGTCGGCTCCTGGACTTCTGCGCTAAGTGACACAAGATGGGATGAAGATAGACAGCCCTTGGTGGGTAAAGAACAGGTTAGGAACTATTTAGGAAAGCTAAACGTACACAAATCCATGAGTCCGGACTTAATGCATCCGAGAGTACTGAGGGAGTTGGCAAATTTCAAAGATAATGGCCAAAGGCTCCTCAATGACAAGTGAAGATCGGGAGAGATCCCGGATGATTGGAAAAAGGCAATTATTAGTACCCATCTTCAAAAAAGGGAAAAAGGACAATCCAGGGAACTATAGGCCGGTTCACAGTTCCTGGAAAAATCATGGAAGGGATCCTGAAGGAATCCATTTTGAGGCACTTGGTTGAGAGGAAAGTGATTAGGAATAGTCAGCATGGATTCACAAAGGGCAAGTCGTGCCTGACCAATTTGAATAGCTTCTATGATGAGGTAACTGGCTCAGTGGACATGGGGAAGTCAGTGGATGTGATAGACCTTGACTTTAGCAAGGCTTTTGATACGGTCTCCCACAATATTCTTGCCAGCAAGTTAAGGGAATGTGGATTGCATAAATGGATGGTAGGATGGATAGAAAGATGGCTAGAAGGTCAGGCCCAACAGATAGTGATCAATGGCTCAATGTCAGGATGGTGGTCAGTTTCTAGCAGAGTGCCCAAAGGTTCGGTTCTAGGACTGGTTTTGTTCAATATCTTTATTAATTAGCTGGATGAGGGGATGGATTGCACCTCAGCAAGTTTGCAGATGACACTAATCTAGGGGGAGAGATAGATACACTGGAAGGCAGGGATAGAGCCCAGAGTGACTTAGACAAATTGGAGGATTGGGCCACAAGAAATCTGATGAGGCTGAACAAGGACAAGTGCAGAGTCATGCACCTGGGACGGAGGAATCCCAAGCATTGTTACAGGATGGGGACCAACCAGCTAAGTAGTAGTTCTGCAGAAAAGGACCTGGAGGTTACAGTGAATGAGAAGCTGGATATGAGTCAACAGTGTGCCCTTGTAGCCAAGAAGGCTAATGGCATATTAGGTTGTATTAAGAGGAGCATTGCCAGCAGATCCAGAGATGTCATTATTCCCCTTTATCTGGCTCTGGTGAGGACACATCTGGAGTACTGTGTCCTCTTCTGGGCCCCCCACTACAAAAAGGATGTGGACGTATTAGAGAGGCTCCAGCGGAGGGCAACCAAAATGATTAGGGGGCTGGAGCATATGACCTATGAAGAGAGGCTGAGCGAGTTGGGTCTGTTTAGTCTGCAGAAGCGAAGAGTGAGGGGGGATTTGATAGCAGCCTTTAATTTCCTGAAGGGAGGTTCCAAAGAGGATGGAAAAAGGCTGTTCTCTGTAGTGACGGATGGCAGAACAAGGAGCAATGGTCTCAAGTTGCGGTGGGAGAGGTCCAGGTTGGATATTAGGAAAAACTATTACACTAGGAGAGTGGTGAAACACTGGAATGGGTTACCTAGGGAAGTAGTGGAGTCTCCATTCCTAGAGGTGTTTAAGTCTCGGCTTGACAAAGCCCTGGCCGGGTTGATCTAGTTGGGATTGGTCCTGCCTAGAGCAGGGGGCTGGACTTGATGACCTCCTGAGGTCTCTTTCAGCTCTATGGTTCTATGATTATATGACAGAACTATTATGCATAACCTATATTAAATTAATGCAATTACTTTTATCAACCAAGCATGTGTTCTCATAAAATGGATTATCTAACAAGACCTATTTTCCATGAAACCATATTGATTGGCATTATTTACCCCACTCATTTACTGTCATGACCATAAGGGATGACCAGCAGCCTGGGGACTAAGGGGTTAACTGTACCTAGCCAGGTAGCACTCAGCCAATACGAATGCAGGTAAGAATTTCAAACTGGAACAAAGGAATTTTTGGTTTTTCCCTCCTTTGTCTCTGAGCAGTTGACTCTCCAGATACTGAGGGGGACAGGCAACATGTCTCTCTCCAAGAAAAGACTCTTCACCATCTGTAAGTAGGGCAAAGTCTAGATAAATCTGTTAGGTTTGATTGTTTTATGGTTTGGGAGTGGGAATCTGATGTCTGTGCATTTAGAAATGGGATTTCCTCTCTTTTGTAACTAAGTTTTGTTCCCATGGGAAAATTCCCCATGAGCTTATTAACTGGTGGCTCTTACCATCTAGCCAATCCAACTATGCTTGTAACAGGAGGATTGTTCGTTAATAAAAAAGCTATTTCTTTTTTATTAACCTGGTATTGGTTCAGTTCTGTGTCCTGGAAAATCTGTCTGTGGAATCTGCATGCCTCTGACTAGGGGATAGCAGCCACAGACTGTAGTTTGTATTTGTTCTTTTCTTTTTCAAGCTCTTTGGGGAAAAGAGCTTTGGGTACCCTGGGGTTGGTTTGAAGTGTCCACCCCTGTTTGTGGGTTCAAAAGCACTTAAAAAAATGACTGGAGATGCCTATCTCCTAGAACTGGAAGGGACCTTGAAAGGTCATTGAGTCCAGTCCCCTGCCTTCACAGCAGGTCTGCTCCTGACAAATTTTGCCCCAGATTCCTAAATGGCCTCCTCAAGGTTTGAACTCACAACGCTGGGTTTTAGCAGGCCAATGCTCAAACCACTGAGCTATACCTCCTCCTTGATAAGGGCAGTGGATTTTTAACCCCAAAATCTAGGTTTTTAGGATTTTGGGGGGAAGTTTTATACTAAAGCCTGGAGAGACAAGGTTTTAGAGTACTTTTGCAGGCCCCCATTTCTACATTCATTGTGCCAGAGTGGGGAATCAGCCTTGATAACCCCATATCAGCCTTTTCATGACTTTGACGGGGATCAACATCAGGCTAACCAGCCTGTGACAAGAGACATACTGCTAATTATTTTTAATAATTGGCACAACATTGGCTATTTTCTAGTCCACTGGACTAAACTATTCCCAATACTCTATTAATGGTTCAGAGAACATTGTAGCTGATTTTTTAAAGATTCTTAGATATAACTCAACAGGATCACTTAAGATGTAAGTGTTTTACTTGAAAAGATGCTGTTTAACATCCTCCTTAATTACCGACAATATAAATTATTTCAGTAATCAGTATATCATCCTGCTTTTTGACAAATATTTAATGAATCCATGTGTCTTATCTACATGGTTAGCATTCTAGTGTTGGATTTATACTTTTGCCAGATTTGCCTTTACTCTGTGCTTTTGCCACTTCCAGTGAGTCATCTGCAGAACCCCCTGAGCCAAATGTGAGTTGCTCTGTGGCTGTCCCTACATCTATCCAGGGGCATTCTCCTTCAGTGACTCACCTGCAGGATCTGCTGTTCCAGTTGAGAGTTGCCCTTGCACAGATGCATGATGTGTTGCAGCAGCAGCTTTGTACTCTCTGTTTTCCCTGCACCGCTCTCCCCACTAGCAAAAAAAGAGCAGAGGGTGAAGACAGGAAACTACCACCACTAGGACTCAGCTGTTCTTCCCCTTCTGTCTCAGTGCATCTCCCCTTTCTCTGAACACACACATACCACTCTCCTATTGCACGGCTACAGGTGCCTCCTACTGGCAAGTGCCCACATTAGCACTATCTAGACCCACCCCCTCAAGGCAACAGGGTTAGTGGGGCATCAATCCCTTGGTAAGCCTCCAACTCAGTGTAGCCACCTAACACCCTCCACTTGAGAGTCTTCCCTGACCCTACTGATAGAAGGGTCTTACACATACTGACACTATCTCCCACCTATCTGTAAACTTTACCCATTGGGCAGTCCCTTAAGAAACTGGAACAAAAGGAATTTTGTAGTGTCCCTATCTCTTGGCAAAAAGGGAGATATGACCTTGAAAGGCTCCTTGTGATGGGTTCAGTTGCTGGACACCCTCCCTCTTGGGACTGTCACTTCATGTGCTGAACTACCACTGAACCAACCTTCATGCCCTCATGGGTGCCGCTCCATTCTCTCCTGCTGACCCAGGCCCTCAGGCCTCCTCCAGCAATGACACAAATATAGGGTCATAGCTCTCTGAGGTATAATAGAGACACTGAGATCAGCTCAGCTCTGGGAAGGTTCAGTTAAAGGGACTTGCCTCATCACCCAAATGCACAGCTTCAATGGGACCTCAACCCCAGATAAATTAATCTTACTTTGTATTAAGTTTTATACAAGGTAAGCTCATGTTTGCCCTCTTTCTCATGGTAAAGAGAGATACAGACTCCTGCCCCTCCCCCTCAATAACAATTACACTGGGTTTATTAATAAACTAAAGTGATTTTATTTTATTAAGTGGTCATAAGCAATACCATACAGAACAATGCTGACTACTAAAAAAAAAAAAAAAAAACCAACATGCAAGCAAAGCTTAATACACTAAGAAACTGGTTACATGTAATGGTTCACCCTCAAAGTTGTTCTAATAAGCTTCTTTCACAGACTGGAAAGCCACCCACTCTGGGCTCAATCCCCACCCTTGTGCAACATCCTCCTTTCCCCTCCCTTACCTGCTCCCCATTCAGTCTTAGATGTTTCCAGCAGCCATCTAGAGTGGGGAACACTGATGACTAAGATTACCTCACTCCTGCCCTTAAATAAGTTTTGTATAAGTCAGGAATCCCTTGTGTTTAGTCTAAACTTTCTCACTTTCAGTGGAAAAATACAGCAACCAAGATGGGTCGCAGCATCAGATGACATGGCCACATATCTTGGTAGGACTTACCATGTCCCCACCTTCCAGGCTTACAGGAAAAACAAGTCTATTGACAGATCATTGTCCTGAGTATTGGACCATTAAATTCCTTAAGCATTAACTAATAACCTTCACTTAACCTGACTACATTAGTAATGCCAATTTATCTCTCATATTTCTAATTCCAAATATAGGAATGATACATGCATTCAGATAGGATATACACATTCAGATTATAACCTTGCCAATAACAGATCACAAAGTATCTCGCATAAAGCATATTCTGGTTATGTTATATTAATTTTTTCATACAGCATATGAAATGCTCCATCACACATCTGCCTCAATCAATCCTTCACATACACAAAAGAGAGTTACTCACCTTGTGCAGTAACGTCCATTCTTCAAGGTGTGTGGCCCCGTGGGTGCTCCACATATGGTGTTGGGCTCATCCCAGCGCCGCAGATCGGAGCTTTTTCTAAGCAGTATCTAGTCAGGCTGCACATGTGCAGCAGGTGCCTTGTGCTGCCGGCAGTTTGACAGTTGAGCACAGCCCGACCCTCTCCCCTCAGTTCCTCGTCTACCGCATATGGCGACTACCAAGCAGTGTCCATGCAGTTGGTAGGACTCGGAGTGCTGTAGCCACGGCTGTATCATTTGCCAGTTGGGACATTATTGAATAATGCTTAGAGAGTGTGTGGTTAGAGGACCACATGGATGCTCAGTAAATGTCTCAGAGGTACATTTTTGAAGAGTGCCATGGATGCTGTAATAGCCTGAGTAAAATGGGCTCTCGGTAGAGTTGGCAACAGTTTACCAGAGAGTAAATGGCATTAGAGAATGCAACTCACTATCAATTTTGAAATTTGCTGAAAGGTGAGCCATAGCAACAGAGTCGTGGGGTCTTGCGAAAACCTCAGGTTCTGTCATTGTAAAAGCCAAATCTCTTTGTACATCCCTTGAATACAGCATTGCCTCTCTGAGCAAAGCATGAGGTCTTGGGAAGAATGTGGGCAAGACAATGGGTTCATTGACGTGTAAGCTTGTGCTGACCTTTGGAAGGAACTCTGGGTGTGGCCTCAAAGTCACTTTGTCCTTACTAAACGCTGTATAGAAGGCAGGCCTTCTATTAGTGTGCCTATTTCACAGACTCGTCTTGCATAAGTTATGGCTATGAGAAGAGAACTTTCATGGTGAGTAGCGAAAGAATATACAAAGCCATTATCTCAAAGGAGGGCTTTATGAGAGCAGTCAATACCAGCTTAAGGTCCCATGTAGGGGTTGGCACCCTATGAGGTGGATAGAGATTGTGAAGACTTTTGAGGAACCTCCATGATAGTGGGTGTGCGAACATGAAAGCCCTCTCAATCTATTCATGGAAAGCCTCGATGGCAGCAGGGTGGACCCTGATTGAAGAGACAGATAACCGAGCCATCTTCAGGGTATGTAAGTAGTCCAGAATGGTTTGTACTGAAGCTTCATCGGGGTGGACTTGTGGCTGCTGACACCAGGAGGTGACACACCTCCATTTTTGCAGGTAAGTTGCCTTGGTGGACTGTCTCCTGCTGGGTAGTAGAATATCCTTCACCCGCTCAGAACACTGAACCTCATGGCCATGGAACCCTGGGTCTGGAACCGCAACTGCGGTTTTAGGTGACACAGTTTGCCTCCATTCTGGTGAAGTGGTAGTGGGTAAGCTGGTTGGAGAGACAAGTCCTGAAGGTCTGGGTACCAAATCTGTCTAGACCAAGCAGGGGCTATCAAGATATCCCTAGTGCCATGAAGCTGAATCTTTGCACAACACCCTGGGAATCAATGGAATTGGGGGAAAGGCATAATATAGTGGTTCATCCCATGTAAGGAGAAACACATCGCCCTTGGATCCCCTGCCCTGTCCTGCTAGAGAGCAAAATTGGGGACATTTGGTGTTGTTTGGTGTTGTGAAGAGATCCATGATGGCATAGCCCCATTTGTGGAAGACGATATCTGTGACTGCTAGGTGCAGTTCCCACTCTTGGTGAATTGTAAAGTTGTGGCTTAGGGCGTCCGCTATGGTATTGTTGACCCCTGCTAAGTACATGGCTTTCTGGGTAACATTGTGCCTCATGCATCAGTTCCAAAGGCGGACTTCCTCTGTGCATAAAGCTCTTGGACACGCTCCCCCTGCCTGTTTATGTAATAGACAGTGGTCATGCTGTCTGTGAGAACACAAACTGCGCAGTTGGTTATGGAAGGGTCAAAGTGCCTGCAGTAATTTCTTATGGCCCCGAGCTCCAGTATGTTGATGTGTAACACAGTCTCGTTTGGCAGCCACTTGCCCTGGCCAGTTTTGCTTTGGAAGTGCGCACCCCAACCCAGTAGTGAAGCATCTGTGGTAATTTGTATGGCAGGCTCCTCCTGTAAAAATAGGATTCCAGTTAAGAGGCTGTGTGGACATGTCTACCATTTGAGCAACTGTAATACTTGCTCTGGCACATGCCTACAAGTTGAACGACTGCAGTACTTGTTCTGGCACAAGCACCAGTTTGTGCAACAAATGACGTGAAGGCATGTAAACCAATGCTAGCCAATGCTGTGGAGGTCTGCATACTGTATCAAATATGTGGTGGCCGCCATGTACCCCATGAGTTGAAGACAAATATCGACTGTGGTGGATGGGTTTGTGATGAGGGCAAGAACTCAACCTCAAAGGGTCTGGAACCCATGTTGCGGAAGGTATGCCCTGGCTGATATGGCATCTAGTCTTGCTGCTATGAATTCTAAGTCCTTCACTGGATTGAGTGTTGATTTCTGTTCGTTGATTAAGAGCTCCAGCAGGTTGAACAGTCGCTTGGTCTTTTTTTTTTTTAATGTTGATAGCTTCCCCTTGTGGATGACCTCTCAGTAAGCAATCATCGAGGTACGGAGAAATCATTGCTCCTGTTGGGTGAGGTATGCAGCCACAAGTGCTAGGACTTTGGGGAATACTCGCAGGGCAGATGACAGGCCGAAGAGGTCCCCTCCTGCTGTAAAATGAAGGCAACGTCTGTGTGATGGATGTATTGCAATGTGAAAATATGCATCTTGTAGGACGAGGATTGCGAACCAGTCCCCTCTGTCCAGCGCTGGTATGATTGTAGCCAATGTAACCATTTTGAATCTCTGCTTTGGAAGGAACTTGTTTAGTTTGTGGAGGTCTAGGATTGGTCTCCAGCCTCCTGTACACTTCCGGGTCAGGAAATAGGTGGAGTTGAACCTCCTTCCCTGGTATGGTTTGGATACCTCCTCTATAGCTCCTAGATGAAGCAGGTCGGTTTCTTGTTTGAGGGGTATCTCGTGAGATGGGACCCTGAAGAGGGATTGGGTAGTGGAAAGGGTATGATGGAGGGAGTTGAACAGAATCAAATATCCCATGTGGATAATTTCTATGACCCACCGGTCAGATGTTATGGAGGCCCATGATGAAGGAATGAGCATAATCTGTGGTTGAATAGATGGTTCTGGTCTTGTTGCACTGGATGATTGGGGAGGTTGGGCATGCCCTCAACCAATGTTTCCAGTTTGCTGCTTCAGGGTCTGACCACCAGAGGGACATGGTTGTTGTTTGTGGTTCGTCTGGGTGCACTGCCTAGTGTGATTGTACTCATTTGGTTTGTATTGAGTACGGTTGTAGAACGAGTCCCTGCTTTTATTGAAGGGGGTGTACCACTTACACCGGTACAGTGGTGAGTACATTCCCACACTATGCAAGATGGTGC